CTTACTGGATTGTCAGCAGTAGTTGTAAGAGCAGAGCATCCAGTGCTAAAGTCACTGCAAGGTCTCAGGCACCAAGTAGGACTCAGGAGTGTTGTGCTGAAAGCAGAGAAAACCATGGCAAACTAAAGCTCACCAAATCCCTGCAGCTCCCACTCAGTAGCCGTGTCTAGAACAGGCAGTGCCTGTAAAATCCCCTGTGCCAGATGTGCTTTTGAGAACAAGCCTGATGCTGAAGTCACAATTACTTACTAGCTATTGTCACAGACTAACTACACTCCTTGTGAATTATTTTTGTCTTTATGAAATATTGTACACCCTGAACAAGTGTTTGAAACTTTTTTGTTTTTTATTAGACTAAACTCAGGCTAAAAAACTGAGCAGCCTCTTAGTTGTTGTGCTGCCAGCTACAGTATCCTGGGTCACTGTCCCAGCCCAATATGAGGTGGAATCTTCTCACCATGGTTACTAATGTTTTCCATAAGGCCCATAAATAACTCCTCGTCAGCATGCTTTTGAATTACTGAACCTCAGTCATCTTCCCTATCACATTACTCTGAATAGTCATTAGGGGAACTTCAGCGAAGATTAAAAAAAAGCAGAATAACACAGAACAAAACAAAAGCTCTTGCTAAAATTAGCTTCGATTACCCACGCAGAAGATTCATGTGGCTCTCATCTCTATGAAAGCTGTAATACAAGAGTACCCCATATGTACAGCAGACTTTTTTTGCCGATGAGGGAAATGTTCATTGCTTTTGGCTGAAAAGGCAGCAAATCTGTTGTATAGCAGCAACAGGGAAGCCATTAGCCATTAGTTAGCCAGTCCATGTTGTAATTTGAAAATGGGTTTAACTAATAAGTGAGGATTCCCAGGACTCAAACAGAAAAGAGGCTTCTGTTAGTGAGGGCAACACAACAAATACACATCTCTAATTTTTTTAAAAACCTGTCAGAATAAAAAAACAGCACTGCCAAAAGTCAGGAATTTGTGTTAAACGTATCATACAAATAATTATTTTAAAAAGTTGTATATGTTAAAACAGTAACATTGTTGGCGTTCAAAGGGATAAGACCATTAATTAGGGGAGAATTCCCACTTCTACACTTCTGCTCATCCATTTAACCAGTTCACCATTGTTTCTACACATTTCAACACTCCATCAGAGTGATTACTTCATATGAACGAATAAATAGACATTACAGAGCCCTGGTAATCGTTTGTTCCCATGAGTTGCACATCAGTACAAGAAGGTTTTGTTAAGAATTACTAAGTAATAACTGTTGGTATATGTACATTAAGACCAGTGGATCACTCTCAGTGTTTTATGGGCTAGAACAGATAAACTTCACAGGTTTTGTGAAATGATAGTTTATTATTATTATTATTATTATTATTATTATTATTATTATTATTGTTATTATTATTATTATTAT